CCAGCCCAGGCAGGAAACTCCATGAGACTCTTATCTTCAATAAATCACCAACAGGAAGTGGCTCAAGTGGTAGAGTGCTAGCCTTGAGCTGAAGAGCTGAGGGACAGTACCCAGGCTCAGAGTTCAAGCCCCTTGACTGACCAAAACAAAACAAAAACAAAAAAGAAAGCTTTCACTCATTACATTGCTGGCCAATAGTAGTTAGGAGGAGTAACTATTCTAGTATAATTGAATAGTAAGACTTATTACTACTGTTGGTAATAACTGCAAATGCATTGACATTAAAGATTATATACATATAAATATATAAACAACTTTAAAAAGCATCATAGTACAGAATGTTAATCTACAGGGATTCAGAAGAAGAAATCCAAATACAACTTTTTTGAGACAAAATATCCCAAGATAGTCCTAAACTTCTTATTGTTCAGTTGTACAAGTTCTTGTTTTTGTTTGTTTCTTAAGGCAGCATCTTGCTCTATAGCCAGTCTGACCTCAAGCTCTTCATCCTCCTGCTTCAGCCGCTCTAGTGCTAGATTGCAGGCATGGTCTAACACATCGGCTTAAGAGTGGTAATTATTTCATATATTATTTTATGAAATGAGATGAATTTTCATTTGAAACTTAAGAAGGGCTGGTCCAAGAAAGAGCTTAGAAAAGTAATAATGTTTATTACCCATGTGTGTGTGTGTGGGGGGGGGGGGGGAGAGATGGGAAGGGATGGGAAGGGGAAACAAAGGAGGAGGCAACAATGCTTGAAAAGAAATGTACTCATGGGCTGGGAAGTTGGCTCAGTGGTAGAGCGCTTGCCTTGCATGCCTGAGGCCCTGGGTTCGATTCCTCAGCACCACATAAGCAAAAGGAAAAAAGCTGGAAGTGGTGCTGTGGCTCAAGTGGTAGAGCGCTAGCCTTGAGCTGAAGAGCTGAGGGACAGCGCCCAGGCCCAGAGTTCAGGCCCCATGACCCGACCCCCCGCTCCAAAAAAAAAAAAAAAAGAAATGTACTCATTACCTTTCCCAGGTAATTATAACCCCTCTGTGTGGTATTTTCACAATAATAATAAAAAAAAATGTTTATTAGATTTCATATCTTAGACTTGCATTTAGAAACAGTGATGCAACCAAGCCAGAAACTTGACTGAAATAATTTTCAGGCTAATAGTTTGGGTTTTGTTGTTGTTGCTTTATTGTTTGTACTAGTTTGAACTCAAAGCTTTGTACTCTGGTCAGTGCTCTGCCACTTGAGCCATGCCTCCAGCTTAGTGTTTTGCTGATTGTTTTTGGGGATGAGTAGTCCATTGTCTCTTGCTGTTATAAACTATGATACAAAGACTAACCACTTATGTGTACATAATTGCATGAATTGTCAGAAGGGGAATTTGGGGGCCAATTTTTACAGTTTATGTAGGTAATTTTGATGGTTGCTACCAAATTTCCCTTCAAAGATTGTATCAGTTAACATTTTATTCATACTGACATTCTGTAACATTGTGGAGTGTGTTTTGAAACCCATGAAATCTTACTAGCTTGGTATGTAAAGAAAGAATATCTTAGTGTAGTTCTTTTGGTATTTGGCTTTGCAGTGTTGGAGATAGGGCCTTGTGCATGCTAGGGAGGTGCTCTACCACTGAGATCTACCTCTGCCCCTCTCACTATAATGTTAATTTGGATTTTCCCATTATGAATGAGAGTAAGTATCTTTTCTTAGTTTTCAGACTCATTTTTATTTCTCCAACTGAATTACTATATCTCTATCTCAGCTTTCTGTCAGTTTATAATGTTTTACTGTTATGATTAAAATTTTTAAATACTTGTGTTATATTATTATTGATCTTTCTATAGTTGAACATTTGATGTCCTTGTACTTATTATTTTTGCAGTGGTGGGGATTGAAACTAGAGCCTTTTGCATGCTAGCCAAGCACTTTACTCCTTTAATTTCCTTTCATACCTGTTTATTCTGCTGAGAACAAATAACATCTTTTTCCTATTTAGATTATTTGGGAGTAAAAAAATGCTAATATCTGCTTACGATTTTTGTACTAAATAACTGAGTAAACCATTCGCTTAATGCCTTCATCTCTAAAATTTATTGATTTAAGTGATTTCCTACTTCTGCAACTCTGAAATTTACCAAAAGCAATAAGCTTAATAGCCTTAACATAGGTATTAAAATGCAGCAGTGATACACTATTACAAGTTTCTAACAATCTTTTCTAGAAGTTTCTTTTTGGATAGATGATACTTTTCTTTCAATTACCTCCCTTGACATTTCTTAGAGTACTTTTTATCTTTTTGCACAAACATGGAAGATATTTTTTAAGAGGCATGTCTTATGGCAGGGATAGGGGTAAAGGACATCAAGTGTGACAGAATATTGGGAAAGACAATGTACTGCTTTTTACTTAATTTAACACATGTCATTAAATGTGCTTATTAATCTTCATTACTTTATAACTGTTGCAGATTGGCCTATTTAGTTCTTCTGGACTGCTAGAAAGCTGATCTCCTTAAATCTGTTTCTCATCAAAACTTAACACATCAACCAGTTATGCTTTTTCTTCACCACAGAGCTAGGATTAAATTATAATAGAGCCTTTCTTAGTGGATTCTTATTTACTTCACATTTATGAAAATTCTACTAGCTAAGATATATATATATATATATGTATATATATATATATACATATCTTTTGATGTATTCTTTAGGGAATGAGATTAAAGCCAACATTGAAATGAGGAAAAGACACATTTGAGTTGCAAGCATCAAAATTTAAATGGAATGTTACTGAAACTCAGAACTTCTGAGGTTTAAAATTCCCTAGTGCCATAACACAGAGAAATGATTTTTTAAAACTAACCAATCTTGAATACATGATATGATCTTAGTTTTTCTCCCCATGAAACAGATTAAGTTTTGTTATTGTTGTTTTCTACTAGCAAAAAAAAAACAAAAACAAAAACAAAAACAAAACATGAGAGCATTGAAGAAATAAAAGAAACATTGAACTTTTTTTTTTTTTTTGGGTCTGCTCATGGAGCCTGAACTCTGGGCCTGGGTGCTGTCCCTGAGCTCTTCAGCTCAAGGCTATCACTCTACCACTTGAGCCACAGCACCACTTCTGGCTTTTTTTCTCTTTGCTTATGTGGTGCTGAGGAATTGAACCCAGGGCCTCAGGCATGCAAGGCAAGCGCTCTACCACTGAGCCACCTTCCCAGCCCCATTGAACATTTTTCTAATGTGGTGTTGGGGTCAAATTCTGGTCCTTGTGCTTATTAGGCACTGTTCCACCTCTGAGCTGTGTATACCCCATGCTAGGCAGTACTTTCATTTGACTGGTTAGTGAACTTTTCCCCCACAGAGTACACAAGAGTAGAGTTGAGACTGGATCTTAGGTTACTGGATTCATTCTTAGTCCTTGTTAAGTTTCAACCATACTGCTTAGTGTTATTATTTTAATCTCTTTCCCCTTTCTATCTTCCACAGCTCCAGTCCTTTACATATTGATATATGTTAGGTACTGATCATTTACTGGTCATATGTTAGGAATCTGATAATTTTCTCTGGAAATTTTCTTGTTTGACTCTATTTTGGGTTTCTACACTTACTTAAACTAAGCATTCATCAACATCCAGCCCTAAAGATTTATAACCTTTTTATTGTTATTGTAGAGTTGATATAGAGGGGGTTACAATTATATGGAAACGGTAATGAGGAATGAGAACAATTCTTTTTGAACCATGTATCCCCTTCTGTTCCTTTCTCCCAGTTTCCCCCTCCCATTCCCACCCGCATTATCTATAGTTCACAGGTTTTTGGCTTTCTGGTTGTACTCATCATGTCTTGGTTAGCTCTTTACCTGTGCTTCTTTGTAGTTTATTCACTACACAGCTAATGAATAAGTGGGCTATTCTTTAAACAATATTTGTATCCTCCTGAGTTGCTAGGATTACAAATGTGAGCCACTGGCTCCATGATTCAGCCTGATCTTTTGACCCACTCCCCCTTAATTTTGCATTTACTGTTTATTGCTTGTTGATTGTACTTCAAGTGTGTATTAAGTGTCTTGGGTGTATTATCCCAGTCCTTAGCCATCCACGTGTGTGTGTGTGTGTGTGTGTGTGTGTGTGTGTGTGTGTGTGCACACCAGAGAAGAAAAAAAGCAATAGTATTGCCATGTTCTCAGGGCCTAGGGCTCTTGCTCAGCCTTTTCACTCACAGCTGGCACTCTACCATTTGAACCATACCTTCTATTTCTGGCTTTTTTTCTGAGTAATTGGAGATAAGAATCTCAATGATTGGTCTGCTTGAACTGTCTCCAAACTGAGACCCTCAGATCTTGCTTCCTAGATAGCTAGGATTATAGATATTATACCCAGTGCCTGCCTGCCTGCCTGCCTGCCTGCCTTCCTTTCTTCCTTCCTTCCTTCCTTCCTTCCTTCCTTCCTTCCTTCCTTCCTTCCTTCCTTCCTTCCTTCCTTCCTTCCTTCCGTCCTCCCTTCCCTCCCTCCTTCTCTTTCTCTCTCTTTTGTTTGTTCATTCTCATTCTTTTGTTATTTCATTCTTTTTTGTTGCTAGTATAAGGGATTGAACTCAGAGACTGAGTACTGTCTCTGACCTTTTTTTGTGTGTGAGTCATGGGGCTTGGGCTCAAGGTGTCTCTGGGCTTTTACAAAAGAAGTACTTTCTTGGTGTCTGTGTCAATCCTAGAAGTAATGGCTATTTCCTACATCTGCTATCTCTTTGCTTCCTAAGTGGTGGTTATCATTCCCTGTTATAGTTATCATGTGGTTTATGTCATTTTACTTTGGCATATTGGGTTTTATAAGTAGAAAGCCTTGCTAATAACTTGTTCTGAGGATTAAGTAGGATAATACTTTCAGTGATAATTCACAAACATAATGACTGCCACAGAATAAGCCCTTCACCATCATCTGTTGATACTACCATCACCAACAACAACAACCTGGTAAGAGTGACATTTCTGCTGGTTTTTCACAGGATGTTTCGTCTTAACTCACTCTCTGCATTGGCAGAACTGGCTGTGGGCTCTCGATGGTACCATGGGGCATCACAGCCCACCCAGACCAAGCGAAGATTAATGATAGTGGCTTTTCTGGGAGCTTCTGCAGTAACTGCAAGTACTGGCCTCTTGTGGAAAAGGTGAGTGTGTTCTGATAATCTCATTCCAGCATGTACTTTCAGTTTTCTTTGATGTTAGAAAATTGATTTCTAGCTTATTTTATTTGTTGCCCAAAGTATTCTGCATTAATAATATTGTCCATTGCTTTCCTTTCTGTAAAATCAGGAGTTATTAAGAGTAAGTGAGTTATTGCTTCTTAATTGCTTAGAACAGTACCTAACATTTTTGTAAAAATATATGTCTTCTGCAGACTTATTTAGTATTTAGTCTTATTATTTGACACACAGTAAGCTTTCAATGTACATAGTATTGGGTATATAGAAGGGTGGGTGATGTATGGAAATGAGAGAATATGTTGGTGCAAAAAAAAAAAAAATGGGGCTATGACACGAAAGTTCTCCTATACTGCTAAACCCTGACTTTGATCCTCAGTGCCACAAGGGAGCAAAAGACTCGGTAGTTTAATTACATATAATTTATATAATATACATAGAATATATAGTACATAGTATATAAACTATATATATAGGTAGAGAGAGAGAGAGAGAGAGAGTTTATTTCTGTTGTGCTCAGAGGTAGATGAGTATTTTTTTGTTTTAACTAAGATCTCTCTGTGTTGCCCAGACTGCTCTCAAATTCGTGATTCTTCTGCTTCAGCCTCCTATGTACTGGGATTAAAGACATAATCAGCTGGTGTGCCACCACAACCAAAAAGAGAAATAATTTATATAATTTTATTTTTGTTGTTGGTGGTGGTAGTGGTCATGGGGCTTAAACTGTGCGCTGTCTCTGAGCTCTTTTGCTCAAGGCTAGTGCTCTACCACTTTGAGCCACAGTGTCACTTCCAGTTTTTGAGTGGTTAATTGGAGATTAGAGTCTCCTGGGGACTTTTCTGCCCAGGCTCACTTTGAACCACAGTCATCAGATGTCAGTCTTCTGAGTAGCTAGGATTATAGGTGTAAGTCACCAGCGCCTGGCTAATTTTCTTTCTCTTAAGTTTATATATAACATGATACATGTTATATGTACATTTCAAACAAGTATATATTGTGCTATTATTTGGTGGAGTGCTTTATAAATTAATTAGGTTAAGTTGGCTAACACTGTGGTTCATGTCTTTTTTATCCTTACTGTTCTACTTGTCCTGTCAACTACTATACTGTAGTTGTTGATTTGTCTGTTCATCATTTCAGTACTTAGAAGTAAGCAGTTCCTTTTCCCAAGTAAAATGAACACATTTATTTTTCCTAAGTGGGAACCATATCAAGCACAGTAAAGAATAAGCAATGAAAATAAATGAACAACAAAAAATTGTTACAGCCCTGAGTAATTTTTAATGTAATTCAGTTCAGTATTGTATCTTCATTTGAAACATGAGCTGAATTAATTCTAATATCAAAATAAACTGGGAACTTTTTCCATTTCTCAAGCTGATTTTGGAACCAGATCTACATTCTGCCTTGCTCTCTAGCCTCAGTTTTTAAGTCAAGTCTTCTCTGATATCAGTGCCAGGATAGTCGTTTATGCCCTATCTTAGCCTCCTGAGTCTCTAGGATTATAGGCATGAGCCACCACAACCTGCTATTCATGTGCTTTCTTTAATGTACTAAGAGACATATAACAAAATTGACTATCTTTTTAAGCGTGGGAAATTTTTAGTAAATGAAAAGATTAGCTTTTCTTGAGTTATGGTTGTAAAAACATGTTGAGACAAATCTGTAAGTGTAAATCAAAATTACAATATTATAAACAGATAGCTTTCACAGAAAAAATTAGCTGTCTTAATCATTTTTAAGTATATACTTCAGTCATGTCAGATATGTTCACATCATTGTGACAGATCTAAACTTCATCTTGCAAAATGAATTGCTATACTAATGACGTACTAAAAACTAAATACTCTTCTCTCTCCCATCCATTTCCAGATCTTTCTTTACCTCCCTAAACTGTATCTCCTTACCTATTAAACAATAACTCATCAATTCCATCTCCACCCTCCCTGGCAGGCACCATTCTACTTTGTTTCTATTCATTTAATAACTCCAGGTAACTCATGAAAGTGGAATATAGTGTTTGTCTTTTTTGTGACTGGCTTATTTCACTTAACATCCTCCCTCACTCAAATCCTTACTATTCATCCTTATAGCCTGTGATAAGATTTCTTTTCTTTTCTTTTTTGTCATGGTAGGGCTTGAACTCAGGGCATAGGTGCTACCCCTGAACTTCTTCACTCAAGGCTAGTGCTCTACCACTTTGAGCCATAGCGCCACTTCTAGTTTTCTGGGAGCTAATTGAAGATAAGGCTCATAGGCTTTTTCTGCCTCCTCAGTAGCTAGGATTACAGGTGTGAGCCACCAGTGCTCTGCCTGTATTTCTGGTTTTGTTTGTTTGGTTTGGGGTTTTTTTTGAGGAACTTCTTCATGAAAAATGTTTACATTTTTGGGCAATACTACGGTTTGAATTAAGGGCATCATGTCTTGTTGACTGGCATGATACTTCTAAGCCATGCCTCTAGCATTTCATGTAGAATTTTCTTACAGATTTTATTGTAAGTTGTTTCTGTGAGTGCTTGTGTGGTTAATATGATGGACTTTCATGTTTAATCTAGATTTCTCTTTTGCATATTAGGGCTCATGCAGAATCACCATCATGTGTAAACAATCTAAAGACTGACATTGGTGATAAAGGAAAGAATAAAGATGAAGGGGAAGTTTGTAACCAAGAAAAAAAGGCTTCAGATAATGGTGTTGAGCCATATTCAGAAGAGAAAAAGAAGAAACGTTCTGGATTCAGAGACAGAAAAGTATGAAACAAAATCTTATATACTAATCAAAACTATATAATTTTACTGTAGAATGCAGTAGACTCTCCTTCAGTATGGATTTCAAATGGTTCATATACATTTGTAAATTATTTACCTCATTTTCCATAATGTTCTAGAGTTCAGCAAAATTCACAAGACTCCTTTTTCAGCCCATCTTTAGGGATGGTGGTAGAAGCCTGCCATCCTAAATTACATGGGAGGCTGAGATTGGGAGGAACATGGATTTAAGCCAGTCTGCAGAAAAGTTCTCGACTTCCTCACAATAGAAAGAACCTTGGTGGGGCTGGGAAGGTAGCTCAGTGGTAGAGTGCTTGCCTTGCATGCATGAGGCCCTGGGTTCGATTCCTCAGCACCACATAAGAAAAAAGAAAAAAGCTGGAAGTGACGCTGTGGCTCAAGTGGTAGAGTGCTAGCCTTGAGCTGAAGAGCTGAGGGACAGCGCCCAGGCCCAGAGTTCAGGCCCCACTACTGGACTCAAAAAAAAATTAAATATTAATGAGCTGCTTTATGGACATAGAACTGGTGCAGATTTTTTAGGTTTTATTGCCTTGACACATTTTCCATATATATAATATATATGTATATATATATTACATGATTGTTGACTGTCCAACATGTTAAATTATGATATGAGAGAAATTCTTTGCAACAAAATATTATGTGACTGCACAGATTTTTGTGTGTTCCATGTTCAGAGTGGAGAATTGTATGCCAGATGATGGAATGAATTTCATTAACATAGTACACATTTAGCTTAAAATGTAAGTCATACTTGATTTTGTAGCTCTTTGAACATTTGCTTGTGTGTTCCCCAACTCTGTTTCTAAATATGCCATATGTAAAGGATCACTTTGCTTAATTCTATAATTTAAAGTCTATTGCTTAAGACCTGTTAGTAATTGTTTCCATGATATATAATTCTGTTTTTCTGTGCCATCATTTAATATACTTTGTCTTTGAAGGCCTGCTTACTACTCAGATCTTTGGAATCTGGTCTGTTTTATTTTAGGATCCAGGAAATTTCATAGAAGTAAGAGCTATAAAGTTAGCCCTCACCCCTTTTTTATTTTGTTGGTTTTTTTTTTTTTTTGAGGGAGGAGGTTGGGTTTTTTTTGTTGTTGTTGTTGTTTGGTTTCTGTTTTCTTTTATTTTTTTTAGACTGAGACCTGAAATGTATCCCAAACTGGCGTGGAACTCATTATATAGCCCAGAGTAGTATCAAAATTTGAGATCCTCTTGCCTGTGCCTCCTAAGTGCTAGGATTACAGATATATACCATCATATCTGGCAAGTCAATCACTTTTTAAAAATTTGCTATTTAAAACTTTAGAAGCTAGTATATGTATGACATTGTATTCTGTTACTAGGACCTTTTAAATTCCCTTAATGACATCTTTCAATTTTACAAACTTTCAACTCTTAAAAAAATGACAAAGTTTTTTTAAAAAGAGTGTAAATAAAGGGTACATGAGCATTACTTCAACTGGAATATGAGTGGTATATCACAAGGGAGAAATTAAATTTTTTTAAAAATCATTGTTATTTGTAATATAAAATCCAATTATAAAAAAAGACAGTAATATTTTCTCAAATAGGATGAAGAATATTAGTATATGAGACTTGGTAAATACTGATGATTATATTATTTTAGTATTGTATATTATAATAACACTCTAAATTTCTAATTTTAGGTGATGGAATATGAGAATAGGATTCGAGCCTATTCCACACCAGACAAAATCTTCCGATACTTTGCTACCTTGAAAGTAATCAATGAGCCTGGTGAAACAGAAGTGTTTATGACTCCACAAGATTTTGTGCGATCTATAACACCCAATGAAAAACAACCAGAACGTAGGTGCTAAAGTGAAAAATAAGAATTTTTTTTTTGTTATAGACTGTTTTCTTTCCTTCCTTCCTTCCTCCCTGCTTGCCTGCCTGCCTTTCTTTTGCAGTACTGGGAGGTATTAACTTGGCTTCACCCTTGCTAGGTAGACATACTACTGCTGGAGTTATGCCTTCACTCATGCTTTTGCTCTGATTATATTTGAGATAGAGTCTTGCTTTTTGTTCAGACCTGCCACCACTCCCATCTATTGATTGAAATGGGGTCTTGAGAACTTTTTGCCCAGGCAGCCTTAAACTTTGGTCCTTCCAATCAGTACTTCCTGAATACAGGATTACAGGAGTGAGCCATTGGTACCCAGCGATTTTTCTTCTTTCTTTAGATTTTTTAACTTGTTTAGATCTATGCAATAATTTTATTCACTGTATTGAGCAGTGGATGTCAATCATTTGTACTAGGCTTTAAGAGTATAAAAGGAGAGTGTAGAAGGCAGTATGGCAATGCTTAAAGTATAGAGGAGATTGTGCTCTTCTGGCTGAGATTCATTGTCTATGAGAATGTTCCTAAAGCAATGCATCACATATGTGATTGGTATCAAGATCCTATTTAGTTAGGGAAATAAAGACAGTAATAAGCAATTCCAGGAATATGATATTTTTACCATTTATTATTAATTATATAAAATACTGATTTTATTATGACATTTTCATACATGCATGTACTTTGGTCATATTTATGCCCTCACCACCCTCTCTTATCCCTCTTCCTCCTTGCTGCTCCCTGAGATAGTTTCTTTTTTTGGAGGGGGGGGTTCTGGTCATGGGGCCTGAACTCTGGGCCTGGGCGCTGTCCCTCAGCTCTTCAGCTCAAGGCAAGCGCTCTACCACTTGAGCCACAGCGCCACTTCCAGCTTTTTTCTTTTTGCTTATGTGGTGCTGAGGAATCGAACCCAGGGCCTCATGCATGCAAGGCAAGCACTCTACCACTGAGCCACCTTCCCAGCCCTTTGAGATAGTTTCTTATATTCTACTTTCATGTCTTTTTGGTGTTGCTACTGTTTAGATCTATATTTCATAAATGAGAACAATACTTGGATGTCATACGCATGCACATATACAAATACAAATATACATATTACATTTTCTTTATCCATTTATCTGTTGATGGACATCTAGGCTGATTCTATAACTTGGCTCTTGATTATTGGTTAAATGCTGCAAAAATAATCATTGGTGTGTAGGTATCTCTAATATATACTGGCTTTGATTCCTTTATGTATATGCTCAGAAATTGTATAGTTGGGTCATATGGTAGTTCTGTTTTTAGTTATTTGAGAAATCTCCATGCTGATTTCCATAGTAATTTCAGTCAATTATATTCCCACCAACAGTGTATAAGGTTCCTTCCTCATACCAATAGCCATTCTGACTAAGGTGAAATACAATCTCAGTGCAGCTTTGATTTGCATTTTTTTTATGCCTAAGGATGTTGAACATTTCTTTGTATATTTAGTGATCATTTGCACTTCTTTTGAGAACTATGTTGAGTGGTTTTGACTTTATTGATCTGATTATTTGTTCTTTGGATGTTTATATTTGAGTTCTTTCTACATTCTGGACCTTAATCTCTTATCACTTGAATAACTGACAGATTTTCCCTCCTGTTCTATAAACTGTCTCTTCACTCTGGTAGGTATTTCCTTCCATATGCAAGAGTTTTTAATTTGATGCAATGCCATTTGTCAATTTTGGTTTTTTCCCAGAGCTATTGGAGTCCTATTCAGAAAGTCATTAGCTATATCTCTATTTTGAAATGTTTTTCCCTGTGTTTTCCTATAGTAGTTTTGTAGTGCCAGGACTTATATGAAAGTCTTTGATCCATTTTCACATTGAGAGATAGAGACTGAAATGAAGTCTTTTTGCTCAGATTTGCCTCAAACTAAGATCTTCCTGATCTCCACCTCCTGAGTAGTTAGGATTGCAGACATGAGCTATTGAGCCCAGCTAATCTTTATCTTTTCAAGGAATCACTCTTAGTTTTATTGAGCTTTTATATTGTTCTTTCACTATTTCATTAATTCTTGCCCTGATCTTTATTATGTCTTTCTATTTACTAATTTGAGGCTTGGCTTATTTTTACTCTTCAAGTTGTATCATTAGCTTTTTTACTTGAAACTTCTCTGGTTTTTCATGTAAGCACTCAGAGCTATAAACATCCTTCTTAGAAATGTTTCTTATAGATTGTAATAAGTTACATGTTCATTTTCATTTGACTCTGAGATTTTTTTTTTAATTTCTCCCCTGATTTATTCAACCATTCATTGACTGTTCAAAAGTCTATTGTTCAGTTTCCATGTGTTTCTATAGTTTCTGTTGTTCTTATTATTAATTTCTAGTTTCATTCCATTGTGAGATCACAATGGAATAAACTTAGGCACAATAAATTATGAAGCAAGAATTTAGACCAATAAAGATGCTTTGTTATTTGAGCAATAGTGTTTTTATCCCTTTGGAAATAGATTATATATTCTTGAATTTAGTTTTGCAATTATTTACTTAATTTATTCATTTTTGTGGTGCTGAGGATTGACCCAGGCTCTGAAGTACTATACTGTTGAACTGCATCTCCAACTCCATTTTTTAATTATTGGAAGTTTCATTACATAAGTAGAAGAGTTACTAAATGTCTAATATGCCATGTACATTTCTGGTTTTTATGAAAAGCCACCATAATGAATAATTACTTTTCTTGTAAGACAATAACCATAAGGGGCAAACTCTAATATAGTAAAATAAGATTTAATGGGAAACTGGCTTCATTTTCATTTGTTCATTAACAGGAATTCCCACAAATGTTGATGTAGCATAAGTGAAGGATATAATATTCATGTATGAATTGAAATGAAGAGTGAGGCTGGAGGTATTTTTATAGTTTGAATTCTATCGTCAGTTAGCTGGTCTCTAGCCAGTAGTTCATATTTCAATTTTGTTTTTATCATGACTTCACACATACCGTATCCCAGGATACCCAGCAGATCTAAATTTGTAAGTTTTAGTTTTAGAACTGTTCAAAAATAATCATGAAGTAAGACTACATAAAACCCTAAAATTAAACAGTTTTAAAATGAATAGAGAGCTGATAAATTTCAGAGTGAAAAGTTAAGAATACTTCTGTACTGAATACCAAATATATATATGTATGTGTGTGTGTGTGTGTGTATATGTATGTGGATGGATGGATATAGACACACACACATATGTACATGTATATCTTTCTCATAGTTAATCAAGTATCCAGTCAAAAGGGAAAATAGAAGAGGGGGGACCAAGATGGCAACGGAATGGTAGGGAAACACCACAGCTTTCTCCAACCAAAAAGAGAGTTCGAGTTCCAACACTTAACTTCCCCAAGAGACCGACAACAACAAAAAGATGAACACCCAGAGAAAAACAGGAGGCAGAAAAAAAACAAAAAAGAAAGAAAAGGAAGAATTTCAGAACAGAGAAGCATGAAGACCCCTCCCCCAACCTTTACTGGTTGCACAGCAATGCACCCAGCTGCAGCCAGCCGCACCCGGCAGGGGCTGCTGGAGTCCCCAGAGGCACAGGGGGTCGTCTGCAGATCACCCATGCAAAAGACCCCTGAGGACCCGCTGATCGTGACGAACAGAGAAACCTCTGAGCCAGTCCCTGCACAAAGATCCCATCCCTACTCCTCACTCTCTGAGCAGAGGGGCTCCATCCTGACAAAGCCACTCAGCCCCATGGCGGGAACCCCAGAACTACACGGGTCACCCACAGAACGCCAGAGCAGAAGACCTGCAAGGTACTGGTGCTGACCCGGAGAGCACACACAGAGACAAACTCCAGCGCTCAGAACCTGCACGGAGACCGCTCCCCCACCCCTTACCCAGAGGCTGGAGGCCAGAGGCCCATCCCATGGTGCCGACCCAAATAGCATCAACAGAGGCAGAGACAGAGGAGAAACACACAGAGCCACCACCACCCGGCCCAGCTCGCAAGCATCCCAACTGAACTCTGATGGCAGCTGCAACCAGTGACCTACATCACACAGAAACAGCAACTAGCTCCAGGGTGAGTACCCCGCAGGTATCCCTCCTCAAGGGAGACCAGAGCTGGTGGGAACCCCCCAGACCTTGACCCAGACTCCTACCCCAACACCTGGACTACACTACCCACTAAAACTGGGAACTGTTTGAGAGCTTCACCAGCCTGTGGAGCACATCCAACCAGCCAGGCTAGATCAAGAGTGCCCCTGGAAGGGAGCTTAAAAACCCAAGTCAGGAACATCGCCCGTGGGTCACAACAGCCAACAGTGGAAGAAACTTGAACTGTGTGCTCCAGGCTGTGCAACCCAGGTGGGATACACAGCAGCACAGGTCCAACTGGAGTTCCCCAGGCCGGGAACTAGGAGCCAGGACCAGGCCAGGACTGGTGCCTGAGCAACACAACCAACTCATCCCGATTGAAGTCAGAAGCTGAGCATACATCTCAGCAGAGGGGAGAAAACAGGGAATTGCACCCCCTGGGAATCATGCCTGTGACAGCAAAAGACCTGGGTGTCCAGGGCAAGAGAACCAGAAGCCCAAACCCCACCAGAACCCGACCCATATATCCCAGGCTGGGAATTGGACACCTCAGGCCACCAGCACCTGCAGCACCTGATAATAGTCAGGAGCTCAGGCTGGTAAGGTGGCTTAGTGGTAGAGTGCTTGCCTCGTGTGCATGAGGCCCTGGATCTGATTCCTCAGCACCACATAAGCAGAAGAGACCAGAAGTGGCATTGTGGTTCAAATGGTAGGGTGCCAGCCTTGAGCTAAAGAGCTGAGGGACAGCGCCCAGGCCCAGAGTTCAGGCTCACAACCAGCCAAAAAATAAAAAAAATTAAGGATCCCATAGCAGACTCCAGCAACTGGGAGGGTACATCCAGCACATCCCATCTCACCAAGAGCACCTGTAGGAGTAAACAGGAGCAGTCTAGGCCGCTC